TTTTTATGAAATGTTTTTCAATTCAGTTTCTAAGTTACACTAGCTACATTTCAAGTACTCAACAGCCATATGTGGCTGGTGGCTACAAACCACCATATTGGACAGCACAGATATAAAACATCTGCAAAGTGTTCTAGTAGATAGTTCTTATTTAGAAGCTAATGCCACCAATTACAAATGCAAAATGATTAATTCAAATAAAGAATACCCTTTAAATCTTTCCTTTTTTTTTTTCTTTTTCTAGGAGGAAAGATGATATTCAAAGAATATCCTTTAGAGGTTGCCTCAGCAATAAGTTGCATTTAAAAGTCACAAATGAGCAGTAGCTGTATCCCTTTGGGCCAAAGGAAGAGGGTATGGGGCCAGCACATTCTCCAGAGGTTTTAAAAAAAGGAATTTTAGAAATTAGAGGAATAGTAAAGAATAGAATATTGAAAAGAAATTGTGACCTAAGTGACAGTTTTGGATCTATCTTCTCTGGGTCTTGGTTTCCTCATCTATAAAACAGGGGATTCAACCAGATGCTTTCTAATTCTTAACTTTCTGATTTCATCGGTACCCCTTGAGAAAACGAGGAAAGACTGTTAACTAAATAACTTTCAGGGTCAGCCATGGTTAAAACTCTAGTTGTATTCAACACTGGCTGCACACCAGAATCACCTGGAGACTTAAAAATATACCAAAGTCTGTCCTCTGATCCACCCCAGTGCAGTTGAGTCTTTGGAGTGGTGCCCAGGCATCTAGTTTTCAAAAGCTTCCCAAAGTGATTCTGACACACAATGAAGGTTACGAACCACTATGCTAAAACACGAGTGATTGTACAGTTCAGGCAAAACAAAAAACAAACAAACAAACAAAAAACAACGGGGAACACTTCCCTCTTTTCTTCTTGCCAGGCAACCAAAGCTATATCTATACTGACAGCAACTGACAAGAGGAAGGTTAAGTATTTTACAAATATAAATCCTTTGCATTTGATTTTTACAATCCAGGAGACCATCTTTTCTAAAAAAGAGCCAAACAGAAAACAAACAGTGAATTACTAAAATCAAAATGTTAAAATGAATTCTCATGTATTATTAATAAAAAATGAATCCCCTATTAAAAAGTTTAAACGCTAGGTTGCTTCTCTGAAGTTCACAGAAGGAGGCAGGCATAAAGGGAAGATTTCCTGCAGGCTGAAGGTCAGCATTCTAAAAGGGTCTTGCCATCAAGGGCAGACAGCTGTCTGAG